GGCGGCGGCTCCGCTCCGCGCAGCGGGGCTGGAGCGGCCGCGTTGCTGCGGCGCCCTCGGGGCCGGCTGCCCGCGCAGCCCCGGCCGCCTCCGAAGGGACAGGCAGCAGCGCGGGAGACTGCTGTCCTCTGCCAGCTGCGCTCTGCCCCGCCGGCTGCCTTCCCTGGCGCTTGTGAGCGTCGCCGGAGCCCGCGCGTGGCTTGCGAGATCCGGGGTTGTGAGGCTGTTTGGGAACTTCCCTCCTGTGAGGGTGMCAGAGCCCTGGCACAGGCTGCCCAGGGAGGCTCTGGAGTCTCCTTCTCTGGAGGTCTTCAAACCCACCTGGATGCCGCCCTGTGCTCTGGGTGACCCTGCTRGAGCAGGGGGTTGGACTGGATGATCTCTAGAGGTCCCTTCCAACCTCAACCATTCCGTGATTCCTGGTGTCATGCTGCCGTGACTTTAGGCCATTGGGAAACACACACAAGAAAGTGCTGGCACGAGCCCTAGCATGAAACGGAGCTTGTGTCGTTGGACTGTGGACTCTCTGCTGCCTTCCTGTGTGTAGTAAAGGGTGCCTTGGTAATGTGCAGGAGGTGGTACAAAGTCCTTTTTTCTGTCTGTTTTTTTTTTTTTTYYCCYCCCCCCGGCAAATTCTTGCTAGTCTCTCACAGTTTCATGGGATATTTCTTCCAAGTGTTCTTCTTGCACTGCCTGTCTTAAAATGCCTGGATTTGGCTTGTTGTTATCAATATGTTAATGTGTTTCCAAATATGCATTTGTATTGCTTCTGGCAAATATTTCTCTAAAAGCAGATATTTTGACATGCCTTACAAGGCTGAGAACCTGCATTCTTGTTTTCTGTTATTCTGCAGGTGGGTCGAACACCTGGCCACAGTCTTGTGTAGTTATCTTTTGCTCAACGACAGAAAATAAAAGCGTGCATGTACCTTGTTCTAGGCATCATCATTTCTTAAAGTGGTTTGCAAGGTTGAAGAGGCTGCAAAAGCTTAAATGTGACAAACTYGCATGTTTCCAGTGGGCACATCATTTATATTTTGGGCAATTTCCAAATTTTCCTGCTCTTATTTATTTATTTATTGTTCTTTTCTAAATGAAAATTTCACAATAGCTGCCTCCCCTTTCTGGCTTTTCTAGCATATACTTCAGCTAGAACACAGAAAACTCCTTTATATTTCTGCAGTTCGAGGGTTCAACTGATTATGAAATCTGTTCAGTAGCTCTTTACGCCTGTGTAAGTTCCTGAGCTTGCCTTCAAATGATGCACGTGTGTGTCATAGCCTCCTCTCATTCTGTCTGTGTTTCACTTCTTGATTGCCTGCCTCACGTCTTGGGTTAACTATATCCTAGCTTCTTTTCTCATGGTTGTTTTTTGTCTTCRTATATCTAACTTCACGTACTGAATATCTTTTCTTTAAAACTGAAATTGCCATTGATTGTTCTTAGAATGTGTGCTGCGGAAGCGTGCAGAAATTCTTTTGTCAGCACTTAAGTTTTTAACTTTTCTGCTCAATTCCTGAACTGAACTGCGTTTGTCTGTTATAGCTGCACAAACTGTACACAGAGGGAATGAGTCAGGATTGAAAGTGCAGGTGCTCCGGTAAGGTTTACTCTGCAGCACTTTCAGTTGGCTGTCTTTGTCAACAAACCTTATGTGGGGGGAGCTTCCAGCCTGTTTCAATGCAAAGAGAGTAACAAATAGAGTAGCCAGTGTGTGACTGACAGGTTATTGTAGTCTATTGTGCTCCCCACACTGTTAGCCGTTTAAATTGTATTTTACCTTTTTAATGACACTTCTTTCCTCACCCCTGCAAAACAAAACAACAACAAAAACACAAACCAACCTCCCCCTCCCCTCCCCCRGTTTTCAGGTTTTTGAAATGAAGGAAATGTTGTAATATTAAAAGCCAGAATCATGAGGAAGAGGAAGGAGAAGCATCCTTTCTGTTCAGAATTAATAGTTCTYTCTAACATTTCATGGTGGTGTCAGCTGTTTTCCCCTCTTCTCCCTTCCCACACCAGGAGAAGAAAGAGAAAGGAAACCTCCCATCCATCTTTGTTTAGCTTTACCTGCCATTATTTTTTTCATGATATTTTGTGTAAGTGAAACCTAAATTGACAATTCTGAAGTCTGTACCTATTTTAAAAGCTCATGTTTACAGAAATCTATATTTAAATTGAGCAGGTTAGAGGATAATTCTGCTCCAATAAGTATGTACTTTGCAAATATACATACTTCTGTTGTAAGGCAAACCAAAATGTTTAGATTTAAGCACTCATTTTTAAATGGAGAGTTTTCTTGTCAGGTTTAATTCTGTGTTCTGTGAAGTCCTTTTCAAAGAGTTGACTGTTTTTCTTTCCTGTCCTAGAGCAGTCCCTTGATGGTGTAGAATTTGGCCATTGGGCTTTTCTCTCAATTTGTTTTTCTTCCATCTTTTCATTGCTATCAAATGTTTAATAACTTCATTTGAAAAGAATTGCAACTCCTGTACTTTTTGAGATAATTATTTAAATTGCAGGTGCCTTGAGGCTTGCTACACTTTGTGAAAAGGAGAAAAATCAACAAAAATCTAAATTCAGCTAGTTAGAGTATAGTTTTTCTTATATTCTATAGATGAGCATGTCTTCTTTCAGTCTCTGAAGAAATATAAACTTTCTGAACTGCTCTTTAATTTGGTCGTGGTTTCAAAAGCAGGGCGGTTGTTGAGCTGGAGCCTGCAGCAAGCATCCTCACGCTCTGGCTTGCGCTCTGGGGGCAGCTCTCCCCTCCTGGTTGCGCCCAGAAGGCAGCRTACATCCTATAGTGACTGCGTTGCCTGAATTCACCCTTTGTTTTGGAGCTTTGTACGTGTTCTGCATGACTGGCTGTGCCAGCCCTTTGCTGCGCACAGTGACTGTCCCGCTCCTGTAATGTCTCTCTTGCTGGTTCAGCGCCTGTCTGATTGTTTGATAAGTCATCTGTGCTCAGAAAATGGACTGAAAACACTCTTTCGCCGCGATGGTTTTTGTTGGGTTATGAGGCTACATGGGCTCACTGAGGCCTGGGATGAATCCCAGATTGCTGCCAAGCACCGGTCAGGTGGCGTTGCTGGAGCAGGTGATGGCGGAGCGTCCCAGTGCTCCTCCTTGGCGATGTCCCCTTCTCCTGGGGACAACGGCCATCAAGGGTGTTACAAGCCCAGCACTACAGCTCTCTGCAGAGGAGGCTGCAACCYTGGTGTCTGCCTCCACGGCGATGTCCTGTCTGGAAGCATGGAGGCTCCAGAGAGAGGGCTGCAAATGCCTTTTGGGGCAGGCCTCCTGTTTACAGAAAATTAACTCYGTGTGATTACAAAACACATTTAAATGTGTTCCAGGAGCCTGAAATTGAATCAACAAATTGCTGTCTGGTCAGTAGGGCTTTGATCTGGTACCAGAGGCTCTTGGACTGGTGTTCTGGCTTTTATRATATACAAGCCTTGGATCCTTCCTATGGAAACCATCGAGTGTATGTTAGGGAAATACTTTAGATGGGAGAGCAGAGGAGTAAATTTGTTAACCTCATTTTCTTCGGTTTATTYTCATTCTCTGAGAAGGAAAGACTAAGGCTGAAGACTTTAGTCCAATGAGCTGCATTCCCTCTGCCACAGAGTTAAGTGATTTCAGGTGATTTTAACAGTACAAGAGCTGAAACAATTTCAGTTGAAGTGAAAAGAATCTGCACTAATAATAAAGATGCTAGACTAGCACCTGTGTAACTGGAAATCTGTTTCAAATCCTTTTATATTCTTCATTTGAGTAAGCCATTTTTCTTCTCAGTTCCCATCTGTGAAGTGGGAAAACATATTAATATATATTGCAGTAGATATATTCTACTGTAATAAGCATGACAGACCAGCAAGTATTCAAATTTCTTTAATTTTTGAAATTGTGAAGTAACATGCAGAATTATATCCATGAGGTTTTTTTTCTTTACAGTGTTCTTGCAAAACTGGCTGCTTTGAAGAGTATGTGCAGCTGAAAGTTAACACGCTTGCTTTCCCTTAGATCTGTATGCTAGTGTAGCTTGTATTTGGCATTCTGGCATAAACTGGAGTAGATGTTTTAGAGTATGCATTCTGRCATAATTAGGACAAGAAAAATGTAAACTGTCATCCAATAAAGATCTGTAAGAGAACTGAAGATACGTAATTGGGTTTGCTTAGTTAAAACCTCAGCAAGATCCTACGGAGCTTCTGAACAATAGTTACAATGTGAATACCTCTAATTTCTAAAGTGCAGATTAATTATTGCCTGACACATGTTACTTAGAGGCAAAAGTTCAGAATTAGTAATTTAACTGCTTCCAATTTTCTCTGTTATGGTTGCTCTGTATCAGTCTCATTGCTATTGTTG